TATATATATATATATATATACTCATCTATGTAACAGAACTATCAGTTCTTTTTCTCGCTCCTTCCCTCGCTCACCTTTCGATCCCTCTCTCTCTCTCTCCCCTCTCTATAAATAGATAGATTAATATTACATAGATGTCAATCTTAATCGAATATACGTAGCGGTACTACCGGTACGCCACGCGTTGTATCATCTCTACGTGCAGTGCCTGCTACTATACTATTTATTTATTTAATATTTGTTAAATGTCCTATGCGGTGTATATGTTTACCTTCGGGTAGCATTCGGTTAGTATCGTACGGCGGGGAGCGAGTGAATATCTGCTGTATAACGATGCTGAAGCTGTAGACATCCCCGGCCTGTGTACCGTACACTCGAGCCTCGGGATGGCGTAGCAACTCTGGAGCGGTCCACATCAGATCTACAACATAAGGTTGCCATGGTTGCCACGTCGCCACAAAATTCTACACGCATATTGCACGTCTTACACTATCAATTCGATCTTCACTGTTGTTGGTGCAGCAATGCACTGACGACGAGGGAAGTTATTAGACTAGTTTTACAACAACGACAGCAACAAAAACAACAACAACAACAACAACAACAACAAACCATAACATCAATATTAACATCAATAAAAAACACAATGATGATGATGATGATGATGATGATGATGATGATGATGATGATGATGATGATGATGATGATGATGATGATGATGATGATGATTATCATGCATGCTTATGATTATAATGGTGATGGTTTTGATGATAATGACTAATTAATCCATCATCTTTATAGCGACAAGGCGCTACGATGACACATGACCATCAAAGAACATTCTAATCGGGAATTTCCATTCCCTTCTTACAGGCACATTACCTTTGCTTTGTCGTTCATTATTATCGGATTTCAGAAATTGCTGCAAGCCAAAGTCCGTTAACTTGATGACCCATCGACTGTCAACAAGGCAGTTAGACGACTTCAGGTTACCGTGTGTTTTTAGCTCACTTCTATGTAGATACAGACACCCCTGAAAAAATTTGTGCACGTTTTTCACACACAAGAAGATTGTAACACACGGTATGATGCGAAATTGTAGACATCGAATACCCCTGATTATAGTATACTTTGATATGATATGCTCTTAGCGATGTATTATACGTATTGGAACCTTATTTCATTCCCGACAGATATATATTTAACCGTGTCGGGGTTGGAAATCTGTGTAATGTTAGCAATTTTAGTAATGTTAACAATTTTTAGACGGAGATAGATCAGTATACGATCAATGGTTACGGTGCTTATTGTCGGCGTAATGCGTTGTACTCTGACGGCGACAGCCTGTACTGTCACTGAGAAAGATAATGGCAGCCAAAGTCAGAACGAAATGATTGCCTTTACTGCCTTATATAGTATACATTGCGAATAGTATATACCTAAGTTACCACCTATAGTGCCACACGTTGACTGGTTGCTAAGTCGCGATGAATTGCAAATAAATTCTTACCGCCATTACGTCAGCTATGAACTACATAATAAATATATGATTCCACTTTATTGATGATTGATTTATTGAATCCATTTCTTGATTTCGATTTATTATCGAAAGACGCGAATAAAATTTCGAAATAATTCATTGCGTAACCTATAAGGAGATCATGAATGCATGATTTTCATATGTTGGTGAATGATTTGTTGATTCCATTTTTCGATATCTATTTATTTAATTTTTATTTGATTTATTTTTATTTTTATTTGTAATTTATTATCGAAAGACGCGATGAAAATTTGAAAGACTACTCACCGCTATTATGTCACTTATGAAGGACATGATGAACATATCGTCTAATCTCATGTCGTCGTCCGCCAGCACGTCGGTTAGCGCGCCCTTTGCGCAGTACTGAGTGATGGTACAGATGTTGGGGGGCTCGATGCATGCTCCGTAGAAACGCACGAGGTTCTCGTGGTTCAACTCACGCATCTGAAACCACCAACGACCGACGAACCACAGTTGTAGCACCGCTGACGCAGCGAGCAGATGTAGCGTCAGTGACGCAGCGAGCAGATGTAGCGTCGGTGACGCAGCTAGCACCCCCACGTGCAGCGTCAGTGACGCAGCTAGCACCGCCTATGTGTAGCGTCAGTGACGCAGCTAGCACCTCCACGTGTAGCGTCAGTGACGCAGCTAGCACCACCCACGTGTAGCGTCAGTGACGCAGCTAGCACCCCACGTGTAGCGTCAGTGACGCAGCTTGCACCCCTCCCCACGTGTAGCGTCAGTGACGCAGCTAGCACCCCCACGTATAGCGTCAGTGACGCAGCTAGAACCACCCACGTGTAGCGTCAGTGACACAACAAGCACCATACGCGGACGCAGGAGCCATCATGCACCAAGCAAAGTTATGAACAAAATGTCACATTCACTCGCATTTATCGTATATGTATATGTATATATATATATATACATATATATATATATATATATATATATATATTTGGGAAGGAGGAATCTTACCAGCTTCATCTCCAGCATTATCGCGCGATTCCGCACATCTATCTCCGTTTTGTGAATGTTCTTTATCGCCACTTCCCTGGACTGCAATCAATAGAGGCATTAATTAATGGAGGCAAGCGTCGATTCATTAGTCGTAACTTAACTAACCCCTTAAACATTATACCGTTAAATACCAATAGCGAAAAAAACCAAAAACAAGTAAACAAAATATCAATAATCCAACAGCAAGCAAGAAACGGCCCGTTTAAGATCGCAAAACCTCTTCAAAATGTTCGGTACGTGTTAGTAGTTATTAACCCAGTGATTAAAGTGGGGGTACGTATCATCGCAGAGGTGTTACCCCTTGATCTTTTTACGATCATCATTGAGCTGTATGAAATCTGAAATCCTTTTTTGAATTTTGAATTTCTTTTGCAGTTGGCAATAAAACTGTGCTCTCTCGCGCATTTTGCGATCGTAACATATGGCATGCCCGCTCCGGGTTTCGCTCGCCTTAATTGCAAGATGAATCGCTTCGATGGATCGTAACCACATAGCGCACGAAGAAATTATCCGTACCTTGTAAATTCCCTTAATTAGAATATGGTCGCCTGTTGCTGGAAGGGAACCCACCAGGCTCTGGTCGGGTCCCACCACTCCCGAAAACAGACTGTAAGCCGAGGTCTGAAAAGTCACAATGATACAATTGCTAATGGGCAAGTAGGGCATTAAGCCCGAGTCACAACAGATCGTACGAAATGTTGTCGTGGATTCTAATGCACGGATTCTATTCCGTAAAAAGCTATTTATAATAATTAGCGATGAAACATCAGCAAGGTATCAGATATGACACCATAGATGACGTCTATTGGCATCGCTTTGCTTGCAGGCTCGAACACTAGAATAGACCAACTTCCGTAATTTGCGCCATTAATTGCATCGGACTAAGAGAGTCGGATGTGAAATTTCCACACGACACCCATTAGATGTTTCGAATGCATGTTCCGGACACTGATGCACCCCGAAGCTGGCACAGCCCACCGGAAACTACATCCTGTTAGGCCGCATTACCCGTGGGGGGCACTCCCTACAAAATATAGTAGGTATGTGCCACTTGAGAGATGGAATTGGGGGGAGGAGGGCTCTGGTACTAAATCAGCACATCAAAATGGGGGTACCCGGAACTAGGGTTTGCTGGAAAGCATGATGCTCCGTACCTGGACATGTTTGCGAGTAGGGGTCTCGGAAACGTGCGGGGAAAAAGTAGGACCTATGCACAGAGACGGGAAATATGTGAAAAGGGGGGTCTCCGGAACGTGCGGGGAAAAGTAGGACCTAAACTCCGGGACGGGAAAATATGTGAAAAGGGGGGTCTTCGGTGTGTAAATTTTGAGGTGAAAAGAGGGGTCATAACCGCGGCACATACCTACCATGCAATATATAGGGAATGACCCCCCCCCCCCGGAGGGGCATGACCCAAATGAACATCACCACAATCATCATTTACTCCCCTCCCCTCTCTCAGTTTACTGCATTAGCATGCAAATGCAGTGTCAAAACAGTGTGATGAATCAATTGAGTGAGAAATAACACAAAAATAAACAAAATAATCACTTGAGATATGCGTACTAGAGTTGCACGAAGCAAGCGCGATATGCTCACACATATCTACATACATTACTGCTTAAATGTATTATATCAGAGTGCGTATATCAATATTGATATATACGCGCTTTGACGATAAAACATCTGTGGCTATATCCTCACCAAGTTGTGATTAATCAGTATGATGTCACCATAGTCAATCTTCCACAGCGAAATGTTCATGAGATCCGATTCGTATTTCATTCGCCGTTGCCAGTAGAAAATCCAACCTATGGCTATGATAGCCACACCGCCAAGCACCCCGCCAATGATGGGACGTACCAGATCTGCGTAATGCGCATCCATGAAATCAGGAGTGTATAATATAGACTGTGTACAATAGGAGTGTATAATATAGACTGTGTACAATAGGAGTGTATAATATAGACTGTGTACAATAGGAGTGTATAATATAGTCTATATTATACACTCCTGGGCCGTAATGAGCCGTACACCTTGTAACTGTACGCGTAGATGGAATCGGAACATCGGGAATTTCAAAACATAAATATATAAAATAAATTCTCACCAAACTCACTATATTATATATCACAGTCGTACGCTGTACGTATAGAGCAGCACAAGTGAAAAACTGCAACAAGTTAGAGAGTGTCGCGTTAATTAACTGTGCAATTTAATTGTTGCCATGAAAAGGAGACCCGGCCTGCAGACACTTCGTAATATTGGAAAAAATGTTGCTGGAACTGAGGCTTTTATACAGCTTAGCTTTTAAGTTTTAGCTTTTAGCTTTTAGCTTTTAGCTTTTAGTGATGCGCAAATAGGGACTTATTAGCCCCGGCTTATTAGCGTCGAAAACTCGATGACGTGAGTTTTAATCCACATTATGTACGCAGTGTGGGAGCGAACCTTTAGAAGATTATTTATATATTAATGCCTGCTGTTGGGGGCACTATGCTCTCACAGTACCCCCAACAACAGGCATTAATGTTTTTAGTGCATCACATGACTTTGCAATCTATTCGGCAAATATGAAGTGAATAAGACAAAGTTTCTTAAACGAACAATTTCAATTTGTATTAAAACACAATGCGTTATAATACAATGCGTCGCGCAAGCAATAGTGCCCGCTCAGGCGGGCACTATTGCTTCATAGTACCTGCGACGTTATCCAATAGAATTTCAACGATTTATCATGTGATGCACTAATAAGAGCTAATAATAACTGCTATGCTATATATAGCTATTATAATAAGGTATCATTAGCTCTTGAACTTATTAAGTACACTGATTCGACCGGCTGTGGTAGGAATACGCATGAGGGGCTTGGCACTGTGTTCTGTGAGGCTGAGAACAGAGTAAACAGACGGTCTCAATTACTAGGACTGGAGCGATTACGCTGCAGATGCACGTACCGTCGTTAGCATCACCAAACGACGTTCTGTTGTTACGGACCGCCGGAGTCGATGCCAGCTAGATGCGTTTATAGTGACATCAAAAGCTAATAATCAATTATTATTAGGTATTATTATTATTAGCTCTTGGTGACATCAAGAACTAATGATACATTATTATTAGGTATTATTATTATTAGCTCTTGGTGACATCAAGAACTAATGATACATTATTATTAGGTATTATTATTATTATTATTATTTTATTTTTTTATTATTATTATTAGGTATTATTAGCTCTTGGTGACATGTATCGCAAATGATGGCAGCGTGCGCGACAAATGTCTAACGAGTTCTGGCGTAGGTGGATCAGGAAATATTTGCCAGACTCGCGAAGACATCGTCAATGGACCCATGTGCCCAGGGCGAACGTCGGCGACTTATATTAGTTCTAATCGCAAGTGCAAATACGCTCGGAAACGTATGGGAACTTTCCCTATTCATCGTAAGTTAATGTAGGTAGAGAAAGGCTGGTTAGATCAGTGAGATTATAACCTAAGCTGTGGCAACTATGGCGCGACTCATATCACGAAGGTTGTCGCTCTAGAAATCGACCAGTAAGTTGAACTGATATATAGGCCCTACACGAAGTAAAGTATGCCATAACGCGGACTGTTCGCGATGTTATTTCATCTCATATATCATAACGTGGATTTATTTGTGATGCTATTTCTGTTTATATTCATTATAACGAGCGATATTTGGTGATGTTATTCTGTCACATTTACGACAATGCAGCCTTTATTGCATGCTCTCTTTATTGTTCGTCGTTGTATCCGGTTGATTCAACTATGGACGGGGGGAGTGGGTTGATTACACTTTAACTAAATCTTTCGGCGTTGGTTATTCTATAAGTATGATATGTCTATGTCTATGTCTATAATTATTATCATTTCACAAGCACTCTAATACGCGATGCGTCACGTGAATTATATTTCACGTATTTCATTTCTTGGAAATACTAGCGCCGAGTATAACGACGGGTGCGTTGCCGCTTCCTTCATCATATTAGTACGAGTTTGTCAAGATTAGTCGCGTCTGTATTCCAGAGCTAAGGGGCAATATACATAATATTAAGTGCATTTTTTGTTTCCTTTTATAGTCATGTAAATTCTTTGATATAGCTCGTTTTTTAATGATAATACGCTGAAATATTACCTTTAATGATAGCCTGACAACCTGGATATGCATATTAGTTTAGATTTACATATACCCTTTAAAATTGATGCAACTGCTGTCGTCGTCGAAGAAATAAAAGCTCCGCAAAATAAATAAATTGACGGATAATCGTTTCGACGAGTTTTGTCTTATGGAGTGGATTTTTATAATTAGATAAGACACGCGCGACTACACTATACTGAAACCTTATAGCAACTAGAATATTTCCAGTACGGAGCGAGTGCATTCCGCGACACAACGAACAACACGCACTTAGATAACTTTAAATAACTTCAGCAAATATTCACTCCGCGAAACGCTCCCGTCTTACCTCGGTGGCTTTCTGTTACGCAGAGTTCGTTGCTGAATCCGCACGCATTGACGGCAGCAGGAGGGTGTGCTGCTCCAAATGGCCAGTGCACCGTTACGCCATCAATAGGCACGTATTGCCACAAGTGACCCTCGTAGGTGGCGATCATTACAAACTCCGCACCGTTCCAGTTGAAGACGGCAAAGTCATTATTTCTATTGGCCTGTGAATCAATGCTGATGACGCCACTTTTGCCTACGTGTGGATGTGGAACAGCCCTATTAGCATTCTGAGAGCTCTCGGTAATGGCCCTTTATTAGAGAAGACGAATGCTGCACTTTGCGCAACAACGACAGAACCTTCGAGCTATACGTATTAGATGACCGCAGATGTGATTGTTCAACGTACAATTATGTTATTATTATTATTATTATTATTATTATAGAGTATTTTTACTAAGACTATAGTGTGTTCTTTTATCTAATAGAATTATAAAGGAATTGCTTTCTATATATTATATACGAGCATATACCTGGAAAATGAATCCCTTTCATTGTATTAATAAAACTTCGACCATCTAGTGGATCGGGTTCATTTTCGCGTATACGTTTATCCAGCGTCATTGCAAACAATTTCACCGCATCATACGCATGGGCAGCGGTGAATGAGACCTGGAAAATGCACAATTAACAGGTAATTTGAGTATTCACATCAGCTTAAATAATAAATGCCATGTGAGCAGCAGAAAGAAATCGATGAGTTGTCAATCTTAAAAACAAATTTAAAGTTACGCCGCTTCCATCTTCACCCCTACCTTCACTGGCTTGTCAGTGTAAATCGGATATGTCCGAATGCGCCTATCGCATTCTCTTATGAGCCTATCTGTCGCCGGATTGTCAGAAAAGTAGACGCGTACAGCGAACGTGGCCTCCAGTGCCATTAAAGCGTGCTCGTCCCATCCATCAAAGCGCGGACCCAGGATCGACTCGCCTACCTGAGAAGAATGAAGGATATCGTAACTTCGATACCAACGGTAGCATCAATGAACGGGCGCACTTGAATTAGCTACCTCTTATTCTACGATACGAAACCATAA